CTCTCTCTCTCTCTCTCTCTCTCTCTCTCTCTCTCTCTCTCTCCCATATCTATTTTTTTCTTTGATGTCCCGACATATTTTTTCTTTTACATGGAAATAGCTATTATATCCTGTTTGGTGATACCAAACCGCAAAATATACCTAAGAAATGGCACTCTTCTACATGGAAACCAATCTTGGATCTGGAATAGCTGGTTGTTTCTTGGCCCGTACCAACTTCGAAATTGAACTTGCTCGTAACTTTGCTATAACTCCAGTTCGTTTCTTGAGTAATAGCAGTGTCAAAACGTAAGTTGGGTGCCTCTCCTGGGATCTATCCAGTTGTTTGTCATTCCAAAGCTGATGAGGTGCAAGACACTCTTATGCTCTCTGATTATGTGTGCTGTAATTATAAGTATAAACGGTTATTGTTGATGTACTTGTCAATTTCACACAGCCTCTACATAAAATCCCACTCTGAATAAGAGGCAATGGGTAATAGATGAATAACATCCGGATTAAATGATCCGTACTGGTGGAATATTTGTAATGTGACTATACCGTCTGCTGACGAGTAAATGTGCCTTGCTGACGAGTATATGTGCTAGTGCCAAGGCGCAACGGCTTTCAGAAAGAAGAGAGAACTAGATTAACGTCTAAAGGACTACACATTGTATTTCCAATTGAGAAAAGCGTTGCTATCTCTAAATGAGCAAGAGCAACACGGATACAACATTGTAAATAGAAGGCCAACATACAAAGACAACAAAGAAATTATGATGACATTCAACTTGGCCTGCCATTAAAAAACAGCTATACCTCGAAGGGCTGCCAACATTTAGCTAATATCATAGTACTAATGAAAGATAAAGATTACAAATACTAAAGAAAAGAAAGACAATTATGGTTCATCTGCTGCACAGCTTCTTGAGTAAGACAATTATGGTTCTTCTGCCGTACAGCTTCTTGAGTCCTTTCCGATCTTCATTTGTATTCCAGAATCATGTTGTTCTCTGGTGCAAGTCCAACACAAGCCCTCAATATGTTCTCAAGCATTGCCCTCTGCTTTGAGAGTGCATTCACCACTGGTGTACCTGGTGGTACCTGTTTACCAATTCACAACACAAACATCAAAAACAGGGTTATGTATTGGAGCCTAAGATGTTCACACATAAATTTAGGCTTAAAGTGTGTGTTCATGTGATGATAATGACAACCTTTGTGGTTCATGTGAAGCCCTCTTTAGTTTGTTGTGACCATAGGTCTCTGCATATTTTTAAGTTACAACGGGGCCACCAATTATTCAGGTTATTAGAGTGAAGGACAGAAAGCACTAGGGGAATGAAATCTTGCGACCAGAAAGAAAGGTAGGGGAAATAGCCCTTTCATGACTAAAGGAAAGGATAATGGTTAGACATGAGCCTGAAAATATCGACCTTGACCTCGAATAGGTCTTCGACTTCAATTCGGGCCTGTTGTATGATGTATGACCTCGACAGGAGGGGTTTTCTCTCCTCAAACTCAAAGGCCGTTGTTGGATGCTTTCTACACCGTCGCCCCCTATGATCTCATCTTCTTGATATGGAAAGGGGACGAACATGAATGAAAACATCTTGTAGTGTCACATTATTGTATTGGCCCTACCAATCAACTATTCAGTCTTGCAACTTATGAACCAAAACTTGGTAAATGCACATTGCTGCTTTTGGTGCTATTTTAACAAAAAGAAATAAGGTTCAAGAAAACTTACCAGAGGAGCCTTGGTAAGGTAGCTGAGGATAGTAGCCACGGGGTGGAAGGAGTGGAACTTACCCTGAAAATAAGACATGATTCGAGTAAATTTTAGAACAAATCAACTAGCACTTTAAAGTGTTTGCAACTAAGTGTAAAGGTTAACAGTCAGAGAGAAAGAAACAGACCTCTCCTTCAGCTTTGAGCTGAATGCGGGTACTGAGTTCAGCAAGAAGGACCAAATCCAAGATAATTGGAGCAGCCAAAAGAGAATCCTCACAAGTATTGTGCAAAACAATGGTGTTCTTTCCTCCCATGAAAATCTCAGATGTGTACTCATCCATTGCCCTTTTGCTGTCTCCCACATATGGCACATACTGTATCCCAAAATCCAATGCTACAATTAGTCTAATGCCTCGTCTTTTTATGATATTCTTTTAATTGTGAAAAGATGTACTTTACCTTAATCACAACAACATGGTCAGGGTGCTCTCCAGGCTCATAAAGAATGGCATTGCTTGAAACCATGTCATCAACAACATTACTTTTCGAGATCTCCTTTGAGCGGAAAGTTTGAGGGGCAGACAGATTCATTCCATCATTGTTACCCAAATGGTTGTAGCTCACAATTGATGTTGGCTGTAATTTTAACAAACACAAGTTTAACCAATATTCAACTTTCCTCTATCAAGAATCCCATCTTTACATATCAAGTGTGCTAATTTGAAGCACAAGTCATACCTTAATACCAGCTCCAACAAGGAAATCAACCAGCACTGACTTCATTTTGGTTTGACCACTCTTAAAGTCATCACCACCAATCAGTGTGTTCCTCTTGATGGCCAAATCAATGAGGCCTAAGAAATTTTCAGCAAAATTTTATTTAATACATAAAACTAACACACAGCTGATTCCCAAAGCAAGTACTTTTAATTTGAGATTGAAACAGACCTGGCACAAAGGTGTTCTGTGGGCTTCCATTAATAAAAGGCACATTTTCAAGAATGCAGGCAATAGCATACAAAGTGGAAGGAGATATTTCAGCTTCATTTCTGTCCACAGAAGCAAAGAGATTTTCCATAGTATCATTAAGTCCAACAACCACATTACTGTATCTTTCAGTGTTAGCAGTCCACAAGACTACCACCTTGTCCACTTTGTTCTTCTCCTTAAACTCCCTAATTTACCAAAAGAACAACACTACATTAGCACACTCTAAAACAGAGGAAATTACACAATTTGTTAACAAAATAAAACAACCCTTTTTACCTAATATCCTTAATGATTTGATCAATTTGTTCTTTCTTGGTTCCTTTGATCACGTTGTTGGCACGTGACCCTTGGTTAGCAGCAATGAAATCAGGATCATAGATACCAGGTAGTGGGACCATAGATTCCATGTAGGGCCTCAACTGCTTTTGTAGATCAATATCAAATACCTTAGCCCTTGCCATGGCATCTGCCAAATTCATGTCGCTGATGTCCCATCCTCCAAACACTACGTCATCTGGATTGACCTATTTCATTTGTCAATTAAAAAGAACCATCAACAAACAGAATTAATATAAAAATATTAACAAAGACGACCAAAATTAAAAAGTTTGACTTTCAAAATCCGATATTACATAAATTGGGACAGAGCAATAAAGGTTACCATTGGAAGGAGGCTTTTAAATGGAGCATAGATCTCTTCTCCATTGAAAGACCCAACTCGAATAGTAGAAGCCTGAGTAAGAGAGCCAAAGTAATTGGCTTGTTGCACCTTATCTTTGGTGGCCCATGAAATTCCTCTGCCAATGTTCAAGAACAGACCATAATATAAGGAAGAAATAATCTCTACAACATAAAAAAATATAGTACATAAAATCATGAAAATTTACAGAAAAACACAAGAGAATGAAACTCACTCTCTGTTAGCAATAACACCACCGGTCAAGGTTGAACCATTGTTTCCACCCCATCCAACAAGCATAACCCTATCCAAAAATTACAGAAAAAAATGTCACAAAACCATAGTAAACGCAAAATAAAAAAGACCCATTTTTTAATTTCTCAAATCTAGGGTAAATTTTAAATCTTTTTTTATTATAGTAAATGTTAAAGAAATGAAGGATCTGGTATAAGAAAACACATACCCTAATTTGGGAACATGAACATCAGTCTTGAACTCATATTTGACAGTCTTAGGCTTGACAGTCCATTGGTAAGTCCCATTTTTCTCCTCATGAACTAACTCAGTGGTTTGATAATCATAGACAGAGTGAATCTCACTTTCGGTGTACTTAACGTTGGGGCTCTCAACCTTAAAGTTCTCAATAAACATTTTGAGGAAACTTTAGAAAGGATCAAAGGGGAAAGGTTTTGTAATTGTAACAAACAAAGAGAAGAACACGCTATGAGTATACTTAAGGCTAAGACCTCCACTTGCACTGCCAGTTGGTTGAGACATGGCAATATATATATACACACATTTTGCGGGAGTGGGAGTACACATGGCATTTCTACAGTGGATCTGATCCCACTTTGAACCGTTGCTATGGCTAGGAATATAAAAGTGAATCTTAGCCATGCAAAAATTTGAACAATTGGCATTTTCTTTGCATTTTTTTCTTTTTGATCAGAGAAAATAAATGATTTCGAGTATGATTAGACTTAAAGTTTATTATGTCTAAATTACCGTTTTCATCACACTAGAGGGTTCTCTTACCTTCTATATTCATGAACCTTCTTATGATTTCTTGAAAAGAAACAAATATTTAAGGGCAGGGGAAGAATTAGTACTAGTTGTGGACCATATAATTTTGAAAAACCTGAATTGTGTGAAATAATTGAAATTGCTAAAAATATTGAACTTTATAATTAAAAGCATAACTCAAACAAAGTGATTATATAATCAATAACTGGAACTCTAATCTTAAATCATAAAATTAAAATTGTGAGCGAAGAAAAGGGCGAGTAAGCAAGTCGGTAAGATTGACACGAGTGGAGGTGAGAGCGACGAAAAAGATGGATATGGGAGCTGCGGGCATACACGTGGCAGAATTTATCGAAACTGATTTGTGAACGTTTCATTGGTTTCCATGTTTACAAAAGATACTTAAATTAAATGCATAATAACATGAATCAATTGTACAATATTATATCACAAAATCTATACGATTTAAGTCATAAACATGACGGCAAAAGCTTCTCCTTTTTTTTTTTGTGTTTCTTTTTATTTAATTATTCATTTATTTAATGTTTTTTGGTTGCAAATGTCATGTGCACAAAAGCTAATCTAGAGAGGGTAGTGTGTACGCAAACCTTATTCTTACCCTGGGATAGAGAGGTTATTTTCGATAGATCCTCGACTTTCTCCCGCCAAGAACTCTCCACCTTACTCTTGGGGTGACTCGAACTCATAATCTCTTGATTGAAAGTGGAGGGTGCTCACCACTAGAAGATACTGGAAGTAACGAGCAGTGACAGTGACTCGTGAATCAGTGAAATGAAACGGCGAGGAAATTTACGCGATCACAAAGGTTAGTGAAGGACACGCTTTTGTACTTGGGCTTAACGACGGCACATGGCACTTGAAGGAGTGGGGCGTGGTTTAGCATCGCGGGCTTAGGAAGTCTAAATGGTTTCACGGGGTCCAAAACAACCGTTACAACCCTGTATAAATTTCCCCCTGACCCACTGACCCGAGAAAACGACGAAAAATGGAGGAGATAAAAGAGAAATCAGTTTTCCCTTCTTTTGAATTTGTGGGTGGAGTTCCCTTTTGTGTCAATCGGATGTTCCCGAATGTGGGGGAGTATATAACCATCAAACATTGAGGTCGATGTACCATTCTCCGACCTTTATTAAAGATTTAGGATTCAAATTTTAGTGAATAAAATAAAATATTAACATAATAATTTTTTGAATAACTCCTATGCGATAAAATTTAATTTAATCCAAGCCTCATAACGATATCATACACTCAAAACCAAAAAATATTCAGTCAATAAAATTCCCATTTTTTTTCTCGGCCTTATTTTCAATTAGTCCTAAATTCATGAAAGTTTTGTAATTTAGGGCGTGTTTGGTGTGCAAGAAAATGGTAGAAAATGTTTTCTTGAAAAATAAGTGATTTTCTTACTTATTTTCTGGTATTTGGTTAGGTAGCAAAAAATATATTTTGAAAAATATACTAATTTAAGCCAACACCATAGGAGACGAAAGGGTAAGGATACAAAAGGATGGTAAGTCGGGATTTAGGGCCGGAGTGGCGATCGCAAGGATAGGGATGGGTGGGGGGTGGGGGTGGTGCCAGTTTTGCTTTTTAGTTTTTCGATTTTCGATTATTTTCTGTCATATGCTTTTTTTTTTTTTTTTTTAATT